TTTTTTTTTTTTTTTTTTCTAAAGAAAATAAAATTCTCTGGGGTAAGATTTTTCATATTATTTTTTCTTCAGCCTATTATAACTGAGTTTGCCTGTTACCCCTCTCAGGGACTTGGGTTTCTTGCAGATAAATTTCTTAGAAGCAAAATACTGAGAGCATAGTCTGGTTCTGGCAAAGGGTCCCGATGGTGGAGAATTCTCTAAAACAAAGCTGATGTGTTGGCCGTTATTATGTTAATTAACAAAAGCCAGTATGCAATTGGCCACCTTTTTCGGAAACTGCTACAGGCCATGCTATTGCAACTTTAATAATTAACTAGATTACTGAATAGAGACTGGCAGGCAGCTGACCCCCAGGGCTACACACCAGGCTCCTTCCAGCTCCTCCCCTTTCAGTGGTGAGGCTGTGTTGCTGGAGCATTTCCCTAGATTCTTTTTTATTTTTTTTAATTATTTATTTATTTATTTGTGTGTGTGTGTGTGTGTGTGTGTGTGGCCAGCTCAGCCCACCAGGGGGCGGGGCTGGCTGGCATGTGGTGCTGGGGGATTGAACTGCGGTCCCTGTGCTTTGCTAAGCTTGTTCTAAGTAGGTGCTTTAGTCCACTGAGCCATCTCACCAGCCCTTCCCTAGATTCTTCATCCCAATACAAGAACTCATTTCCCCAAGCCAACTTAGAGGAGAGGCCACACCTGATTCCTGCACCTGAGATCAGAGTCCCAAGCTTCTGAGAGATGTGTACCTCAGGGTCAAGCTCAGCTGAAACTTCTATAATGACAATTGCACCAAGTCTGGAATCCTTAAACATCTCCTGTGGCTTCCAACATCTGGGGTGAAGCTAGGAAGGTGGAGCGTGTGGGAATTCTTTCAGAACTCCCTCCATGGTATGCTTGGGATTTCCCAAAGCAAATACAGAAGCAGCATGTTGCTTTGTTTTAAGATAAAAATCAACTCCAGACCATTAAGTTATTATTGTATGTGACATGTGTGACATGAGGCCCATCTGTGCCCCCAACCCTGCAGTCAGAGTTAAAATTACTGTGTGTACTTAGCACTACACGTTTTTGTTAAGTACAGTACTGCCAGAAATAATAGATGCCCGAGGACATAAACCTAAAATAACATAGAAATTTTAGTCAGATAATCTTAAACTAAAAATAACCTAAACAGTAGTTTATATAAACCTTGAGTAGCAAGACTCCCAGCCCACTGCTGGTTCATCAAACTGTAAATTTATGAGGCATTTACTTAGCATTTAACATTTTAAACCAGATCAAGCGTGATCTATATTATAGGCAAGCTCCCAAAAGCCAAGAATTCCACTCTTGGCGGATCTTGCTGACTGGAACATTCCTCAGGGAAGTCCTCCTCTGAGGGCCTCCAGAGGCAAACACTCACCAGACACATCACACTGCTGGTGGGTCAGATCCTGTGAGGAATGGAGAGGGCTCCACAATGAGCTCTACCTCCTGAGCACTTTTATAATCAACCTATGTGTCTCCTGAAGTGAGTCTGATGGTAGGAGAGGAGGAGGAGGCTCTGACCACCAGAGAAAATGTGGAAGTGGTTCCAAGCCCAACATTCCTCTGTCTGCGGTGAGACCACCCTCTCATGGCTTGAATCTCCTCAGAGGGTGGTTTCCAGACACCCTTGTTGGTTGGAAATAGCCATCAGATGGCTGCTCCAGAGCTTCCAGCCTGAAAGGACAAGGGGCATCTCCTCATAGCACACAGACAGACAGATAACTGGCGTGTTCCGTCTCTATAGACCTGGGATCTAGGTTGGAAGAGTTTTCACAACCTGAGATGCTGGCCAAATTGTTGGCAGAGTGGAAGAAAGTTTTAGAGAAATCCTGTCGAGTTGGAGTCTCTACAGGGACTTGACCATTTCTGGCAGGACAGTAGGGTGTGTCTATTTGTGGAACATTCAGATCGGTAACAGTGGACATGCTTATCACCCTGCAACTAGGGAGGCCTCCCATGCTTGGGGGAACAAGAAAATTTTTGTGGTGAAGGATTTGGGGGACACATGACTAGCAGAGCCCCTGTACAAGCTTTCAGATGATTCCCCAAGGACCCAGCTGAGAATCTCAGAACCAGACATTTTCTAAAAAATCATTAATGTTCACTAAAGAAGACTAGGACTCTAGAAGAAGGAGCAGTTTGACCTGATCCCAGGTATTAGTTACACCTTATTGCTCAGAGGATGATGGGAGAAGGAAGCTGGCATTGCTTTATTATTATTTTTTTAATGTGACATTTTACTTCTATAGCCTCTACACATTTCATAGAGTTTTTTGGAATCCATCAAAGTTTTCCGAAGCTTTACCCATTTGAAAACGCCACCACCTGTATTTAGGTATCCAGTTGAACCTTACATTACACTTAAGGTATTCAATTTATGATAAGCTCTGATAAATATGCTTGAAAACCAAGTCAATTCCATCAGAAGTTAAAATGAGGAACAACAAATGAGGATGTCAGTGAGAAGAGCGTAAAGTTGATTTCACTTGACACAGTATCTTCAAGTGTCATCCATGTCACTGCATTTGGAGGAATTTCCATTTTTGTGCTATCCACATCCTGGATGATGTGCATACTGCTGCCAAGAACACGGGGATGCTAGCGTCATTTGGGTCCTGACTCCACTTCTTCTGGAAACCTACCAAAGAGGCTCTCCACTCCCCTCTGAGCAGTGAACCACCTTATTAAATTAAAACCTGTGTTATGGATGGGTTCTCCCATTTGCGGGCACGTTTTTCAGCGTTAGGCATATAATGCACTTACGAAATATCCACCAAGCGCTGCATGTGGGCCAGTCACTAATGCAGAAGCTGCCTTGTGGGAATCGGGAGAGTGGGGAGCCGTGTGGGCGTCCAGGGAGAATGTTTGCAGTTGGGTAGAGAGGTCTGCACTGAGAGAAGTGTGGCTGTCAGCCACCCCAGATAGGCCGTGATAGTTGGTCAGTTGGCCAGTAAACCAAGAACCAATTAGCAAGTGGCCAATGAACCAGAAAACTGGCTCAAATGGAGAAAAATCAAGAAGTAACACTTGAATCCCTTTAACACAAGCTATGAAAATAGTGTTTTAACAATTACGTATACGTACCTAATACTTAAATATGGTTTTCACTAACTTTGTGGCAGTGCAGGGAGCCTTCTGTTTGAGGGTATCTGCACTGGACTTCCATATCGTAACCTTTATTCAGAGCACATTTACAATGTGAATGTGAATCCAGTTTACTTCCCCTACTTGTATACAAGGTAAGAGTGTAAAAGCCCCTCATGGGGCAGTCTGGAAACACAGTTTTGCAACTCAGTGCTTATCTTTTATGCCATCCTGGCTGTGCCCATTTTGGCATCAGTGTATTTTAGCTACTAGCTAAAATCAGTTTGCATGACAACAACTGTGGTTTTGCTCGCTTGTCTCATTGATTAAACCAACATGCAAGCACATGTACGGATCGCAAAATAGAGTATCACCTGTATCCCAAGATGTGAGCGAACAGCTGACCCTTGGTGAAGACGCCTCCTTGACCCATGGGAGCATAGGCAGTCTCAGAGGACCCTGCTGGCCTGACATGCAAGGTGCCACTTCGCCAGCCAATGTATTTTGTAAAGCAAACAGCTTTGGCTCCACAGGGGGCTTCTCCTTAGCTGCAGATTTTACAGAAAAACAGGAATGGTTTCTCTTGGGAAGCTATCAGCAGTGAACAGCAAGCAGTATCTGATGAGAGAGGGTCAGAGGCATAGGAGGAAAACTGGGAAATGGGGCTCCAGAGAAGCATCCTTTTAATAATTGTCTCCTCTGTCTTCTCCCTCTGCTCCATTACTTGGCGCTTGAGAACTATCTAATAGTTGTTGAATGAATTAAAGTACATCTGTTTTCTCTACCATGGGGATTTTTGACGCAGAGCTGGCATCCTATGCCCAGTGTGTTCCTCTCCTGGAAGTCACAGGTCAGGAACTGCAGGCCACCTGATCTTGTATGATCTGACACTCAGCTCACCCCAGTGACAGTGCGTGCATAAAGTAGCATCTTGGCAAGCATCTTGGTGTCCCTCAAGTCCAGCTGGTTAGACAAGGTGACAGTAATGCTCTTGGAGGATGCTGGTATAGAAATACAGAAGATATTATGTGTTTGAGTCCCTGAACTCATGGCATCTGATAAGTCACTCTTGGCTGATTCCCACTGGCCTTTAGCACTGTGGTGAATCTGAGGAACACAGAACACTTAGATTACTGACAAAGCAAGTTTCTGTTTCAGAAGCTTAAAAGCTTAAGAACTGTAATGTCATAATTCATATAATTTATTCACTCATCGTTACCAAGTATCTGTTGAGCCTTCATCATGTGATCCCATCCCGTGCTGAGTTCTCCGCCAATTCCTGAGCACGATCTACTGTGCTGGATCCGATGTCATGCTGCTCCACCTTTTGTGCAGGCCTTCCTCACTTAATGGCTGGGCTCTGGTCCGGAGAGTCGGTCATTGAATGAATGGATTGATTGCTGAGGGAGGAATTGTATATAGTGTATTCATTAGAATATTCAGAACAAAGAAATGATCCCAGGAAACCCCAACTGGATGACCTTGCTCTCATCTGCATAACTCACATGCAGGACTGCAGCATTCAGCAGTGAGGGCAAACCTTTTAGCACTTTCAATAACAAAAGCTCTTGGGGCGCACTTGCCACAGGTTTGCGCCTCTGGTATAACAGAGCATAAAGCCACAGTACTCTACTGTATAATGCAATTAGCAAAAAGTACAGTACTGAGCTGTGGAAGAGGCCATAATGAGGCCTCTCTGCTGCTCACATTCCTGCACTGTAAGTCTGAATATGGGCTGTGAGTCCGAGTGGGGGTCGTGAGTCCAGACATTTGCTAGACAGATCACATTGAGCATCTGCACTTAAACTAAATCTCAGTGCACATCGGGCTTTTGAACCTGGACCTGGGAGTGAGGCACCCCTGCACAGTGCCCCTTTCTCCTTCTCTCTGGACAGCCTGGGGATGAGCCACGACGACGACCACTCGTCTTGTGCCGGCCGGACCCACATCATGTCTGGAGAGTGGGTCAAGGGCCGGAGTCCCAGTGACCTCTCTTGGTCCTCCTGCAGTCGAGATGACCTTGAAAACTTCCTCAAGTAAGTCATGGAATTATTTTATAGCATCAAATTGATAGAAAGTTCTCCCCAAAGACAGAATGTAGCTCAGCAAGTACGAGGAGCAGCAAACTGCCTGTTGAGCCCTCCCTTGGCCTGGAGATGTTGTGTGGGCGGAGTCTGTGTGACAGGAAAACACTTCCTCCCAAGCATGCATCATGTACCCTGTTGAGTTTTTGGTCTGTGACTGTTAAGTGCTTATCCATCGATGGAAGTGTCAGCATTGTGACCCTGTGTTGGAAGCCCATCACACTTAGCAGTCCACCACCGTGAGTGGATGCTGCTGTCATGGTCCCGCTCAGCTGCCACGTAGCCAGGCCCTTCTTGGCTGCTAAGGCTGCTTCCCTGGAGGGGAGGGAGCTTATTGGAGGAAGGAGGTGGCTCAGCTCTCAGATGGGGGAGGAGTATCTCCCATGGCCACTTTCCTCCTAGAAGGTAACTATGTCATTCCATTTCCAGGCTTCTGCATCAGAGCTGGCCATCTGGTTTCAAGCTTCTATCAAACTGAGTGTGAGCACAGAGCACACCAGTCCCGTAGTGTCAAAACCCAAGGGGGGGGGGGGATTTATAGCCCTGGTGCAATGTGTGTTCCTTGATCATTTCTCTACTGAGTTGTGTTAATCCATTTACCCTGCAGAAATGGAAGGGAATCTCCGAGTGTTCTCTGCATAGGGAGCTTTGCAGTCCTACAATGCATTAAGGGACCCAGGGCAGCTGGGGAGAGTGACAGAGGCATCCTCCTGGGACTTTCCTCATCTCCCCTATTGCAGAGGAAATTGCTTAAGCAGTAACCAGGCTGAACATGAACTTGTTAGTTTCAATGTAGTTCACATTCATTGAGCCTTTGCTGTCACACCATCCTCGTAAAATGTTGTGAGCTGCTTGATGTTGTTTTATTTACCCAGACGACTCAGTACAATAAAACAGGGTGTTTTCATTTTCTCATGTATATGGTGCTGGTCCTGTTGGTGACAGGTGAGGGGAAGTTGAGCCTGGAAGAGCAGGACCAGCCTCATGTATATTTGTGCATAAGCCAGTCTTTTTTAAGAAGAGTTTTGGCAAATGGCTGCGTTTTCTTTTTACTACCATCTGCCTCTCTTTAAGAATAGAAAAATAAAGGTACTTAAGTACTTAACCTCCTAAGGGGCCCCATTTTGGAGGAAATGTACCACACATGGTCAGTGAATGTCCCCATCTTGGTCAGCATCCTAAGTGAGAACATGAGGTGTGGCCAGGTGACAGACCGAGGCTAGCATGCCTGCCACAGGCCAGCAAGCCCCCTAGGAGAATCTAAGGGGCTGGAAATAAGGATGCTGATTTCATTTAAAATAAAACAATCCTTACTTGTGCTTTTGTTTTATCCCTGATATCTTTGGCTTGAATCTATACTCTTAAAAAAAATACTGTAATCTGTTTCAAAAGCATCTTTATCAAACCTAAAAAGAGTCCATTTGCCTGGTGGTGTTACTCCAAGGACCCTCCAGGGTGGACGATATCTCATGGCTTTTGGAGCAGAGATGCATATTATACTAAGTAGAGTAAAGATTAAAAAGCAAACAAAACACAATCTATATTTTATTTATTTATACTTTAGGGAAGGGTCTACAGAGTGTTCAGGGTCTCACTACCAGATCAAACTCATACTGATCCACCTGTTTACAGCCTCCTAAGAGCTGGAATTCCAGGCATGCGCAACCATGCCAAGCCTCAATTGCTGTCTCTGCATGCCCCAGGGGCGGGGCCGGCACTGCAGGCCCAGGATCGAAGCCCCCAGTCCCTGCGCCTGCTTGCAGGTGTTTTGATCCACTGAACTATTTGGCCAGCCTAAAACACAGTCTATTATGTCCACTGCCTGGGTCCTTCTCCCATAAATACTTGAAGGTGCGAGCTTCTCAGAGAGGGAAAAATTAAAACATGAATGTGGGCCGTACATATGCAAGTCAACTTGCCTCTTGGCTATTTCAGGTCCAAAGTCAGCACTTGCTTGCTGGTCACGGACCCAAGGAGCCAGCACGCGGTGCGCCTGTCCCACAAGCTGCCTGGCATGCACTACAGCGCCAATGAGCAGTGCCAGATCCTGTTCGGTACCAACGCCACCTTCTGCAAAAACATGGAGGTAAGCAGCCTGGTAGGGCTGGCTCAGCAAGGGGTGCAAGCCTGGCCCTCCCACAACAGGTCAGGCTTTGGCTGGAGGACACGCGTATTTACAAGTAACATGCACACCAACCCATTCACAACTGCATACATACACTCATCTGTGCCCCAGGTAGTCACACATGCATAGTCACCCACATGCACCTGCAGTCACCCACACGTGAATAGGTACCCACACCTGCATGGTCACCCACAGGAACACAGTCACCCACACGTGCACAGTCACCCACACAAGCACCATCACCCACACACGCACTGTCACCCACACACATAGTCACCCACACATGTGCAGTCACCCACACGTGCACAGTCACCCACACAAGCACCGTTACCCACACACGCACTGTCACCAACACACGTAGTCATCCACACATGCACAGTCACCTACACATGTACCATCTCACACACACACACACAGAGTCACCCACATGTGCACGGTCACCCACACCTGCACAGACACCCACATGAGCATAGTCACCCACACGTGCACCTGCAGTCACCCACATGTGCACAGACACCCACATGTGCACATGCACCCACACGCACACAGTCAACCACACTCACACAGTCACCCATACCTGCAGAGCTACCCATACCTGCACAACCACCCACATGAGCACAGTTCCCCCCCCACACACAGTCACCCAATTGTGCACCATTACCAACACATGCAGTCACCCACACATGCACAGTCACCCACACTTGCACAGGAACCCACACCTGCACAGTCACCCACATGTGCACAGGAACCCACACCTGCACAGTCACCCACACGTGCACAGGAACCCACACCTGCAC